AGCCGAATGGATTCGAAAACGGTAAAACTCAACTGTTTAACTCTAGGGGAGTTGGAAAATGAGCCTATTTTCAAAAATAGTGGAGTGTTCCTTTAAGGGTCTGCGGTGATATTACTCGGGGCGTTGGTCAATTCATTTTTAAAAAAAATAAATAAAAATCGAAATATGTAAACACTAAGTTAAAGTTAACAAAGCAACCTAAGACCTAAGATAAAGTTCAATCAAAGTTAAAGAAGCTAAAGTTCAAGTCCAAAGTTAAAGTTCTGCTACATGTTTCATTGTCTCTATCAAATTCTGTTCAAAAGTTTGGGGTCAGTAAGATTTTTTTTAATGAAATTATTACTTTTATTCAACACAAATGCATTAAATTAATCAAAAGTGACAGGAACTTTTAATTGTTAAAAAAAACTATTTAAAAAAAATGCTGTTCTTTTGGACTTTCTATTCTTCAAAGAATCCTGAAAAAATGCACCACAGTTTCTCCTGTAACCATGCTACTTGAGCACCAAATCAGCATCTTCTTCTTTTAAAAACATTTTAAAAATCTTTCCAACCCCAAACTTTTGAACAGTAGTGCATGTATAAATGTAAGAAAGTCAAAGTAAAATGCAATGTACAACATATGACTCTGTACAGCAATAATAATTAAACAAACTCTGCACTTACATGTAATACCCAATTTATAGAGTTCTCTGAACCTCTGATGGTAGCCTTCTCCTGGTACATAGTCACCTAAGCCAATAGTACTAAGAGAGATGAAGCAGAAATAGAAGGACTCCAGGAAATTCCAGTCCTCTTCCAGTACTGAGAAGATGATGGCAGGTATGAGGAAGAAGCAGGAGATGGTTATTATAGCCAGAAGAGTGGCGTGCAGGGTGGCCAGCAGAGGTTTGGACATGCCCCAGCGCCGGTGTAGGTACTCCACGGGCCTGCGGGTACTGAACTCCATGATCCTCTGGACCACCGCAGTCAGGAACAGCAGGGTGAATGGGATTCCCACCACTGAGTAAATGATGCAGAAGGCCTTACCACCATCCGAGAGAGGAACGGTGTGGCCATATCCTGGAAAAAAACACATGAAGCTTTTTAAATAGGTCTTTTCATTTCACAGGTTGATTTTTTTCCTGCGGGTTAAAGGTCATATTGCACAAATTGTATTTGACTGAAATGCATGTACTAAAATATTTTACCCATTTTATATTCTACCAATAATAAAACTGTTCTAGATGATGAGCTTGTAAGAGAAGGACACTGGTTGGGAAACTTTGAGCTCCTGTGAACTCCTTAATGAAAACACTGTATTGTGTTGTAATTGTGAAACAAATAGTGCAGAAACAATGAATTTTCATTCAAAAATTGCTAGCAAATTTCCTAATTAGTTACAAAGAAATGGCAAGACATTGAATTAAATATGAAATTTGTAAAACATACTCCAATAATCTTTGTTTTATTTACTTTACCTTGGAAAAAAACAAAATTTTTACAGTCTCCTACATTGTGATTTTCAAGCTGAAATTGTGCATAAAACATAATCGTAACTAAATTTGTATTTAGTTATGAGAGTGGTATATTTTGGGTTTTGGGATATTTGGGATAAGTCATTTGGCTAGTTCTCTGGCTATTTCTGATTGGCCATTGGGCTAGTTTTGTTGTGCAGACCTGGCAACCCTGATCACATCTAGCAATTTACTCAAATGAACCAGTTAATTTGTGTTTTAATTAAACACCATCTTAATCACATAATGAAAATTTACTAGGAATGTCAAGGATGTTACCTGTTGTAGTACTTAAATCCTGCTGGATTAAGTTACATAATCATTGGAAACACTACACAAACAGCATGCTTATCCTTCAGACATCCTTCAAAATCGCCCACAGCAATGAATTACAAAACCACTAGGGCTCCTAAGGGGCTGTAAATATGTGAGCATGCACTTGTTTTTCTTTATTTGCAAGGGTGTATTAATAAATATAGTAAAATCTCTAAAAAAAAGGACTCGCAAGGATGATCATCACCATTAGTACAAAACTCAAAAGTGGCCCAATTACAATTGTTATGTTTTATCTATGTATTTGGTATTATATTATTGCTACTTTTTTGCTTATGTTTAAAACATCCTGAGCACTGACTGAAATTGTAATGTTGTTATTAATAGTAACTATTAATAACAATAACAGCCAATTGCATGACACCGCTGGTCATTTGAAATAATGAAGCCCATTATAAGTAATTTGGTCCATGTAGAATAATATTTAAAAGTTTTTATCTCATGTGATTGCATATAATTATATTTTGCAAAAGTGCTATTAATTTCCTTTCGTAAAGCTTGTTTAATGAGCAAAAAAGTACTAATAAATGTCCTTATATATGCAAAATAAATTGTGTCTGAGTCTAAATTCCCACTGTATCTTATTTTATTGAATTTTGTAGTTTGTTACAAAAAATATTATTTGCCTTTATTTATAGTCTGTATTATAGTCTGTATTATATGTTTGTACAAGTTCTTGATATATTGCGATTGTTAACAATCAGGCACATAAAGCTTTGTTGACTTTTGAGTCATTATGAAGGGAGGGAGAGAGACAGAATTCTCTAACCCATTAAACACAATAGGCAGGTCTCTTTTCTTATATATATATATATATATATATATATATATAGTAAAAGTTGGGCTGTTTAACAAGAGCACATCATACTGTACAAGCGCTTTTCAGACTTCACAGGCGTCAGCTAATGCTTTTATCAGAGATTTCAGAGAGGACAGGTCGACCTTACAAATGACATCACAGCGGCCTCGCTACTTGCTGTCTTCGACTCTTGGGTAAATAAATGATTGTAAAGAAGGCCTTACAGGACTACAGACAGTAAATGATATCATGTAAATCAACAACTGGGTTAAAATACATAAACAATCCTATCATGGCTATTTATATTTAATATTGTCATGAGAAAGTCTGTTCTCACCTGTCGTGGAAAGCACAGTGCTGGCGAAGAAGAGCGCTGATGTGAAATCCCAGTTCCAGTTAGTGGTAGCATTATTGAGAACCGACACACCGTAATTACTCGCTTCTAAAGCTCTGGTGAGAAACTCCTCCAGTCTTTCTTCGGACAGACATTCATTATCCTCTAGAAACTGCTGCTTCACGGTCCGAAGCTCCTGCCGAAGCTGCTCTTCATACGGCAGCTCCACCGCGGAAAACACCAAAGCCCCGAATAACAGATATAACACATACGCCAGTACCAGGACCAAGAAATACCACGTAGACCTGTAACCTTCTATGACACGCACACACGAACTACCAGATAGGCACTGAAGCATCGTCTCCGCGGCAAAATAGGTGGGAGAATTAATACAGGCAGTTGAATTACAGAAATACGCTTGTTTCCTACAAATAAAAGGGAGCAAACACTCTTACAGCTGTCTTTTAGTTAAAATTTCCTGTTTGTCCCCTGCCAGTATTGCGGAGCTGATGTGACGGAAGATCGGAAGCCGCCTTTACTAATCGTACTATGGTGAAGGGTCGCTATTAATATCAATGAAGCCACTATTCGCCTGTAGAAGGTAACAACGCAACGTCAGCAGTACCTAATTAATATTTATTAAACAAGCCATCGCCATTGGAAGGTTGCAACGGCGGCAGAGTTGCCTGATTAATATTCATGAGATAGCATTCGTCGTAGTAGGATTCATATTTTTGCGTCAGGCTCGTGACGTCTAGTTCCTCCACGCCTCAATTTACGCAGGTCGGTTCTATTCATTACATTTATCACGGCAGGGCGCACCCAGTAAGGTAAACCTGAGAAATTTGCGTTTAGAAGACAGATATAGTTCATAGTTAAGCAGCTGTTTCAAAGAGAGGATACTATAAGTGAAAGCCCCATTAGGGTCAGCAACTGAGACATACATATTCTGTTACCTGGTAGAACAGGTTTGACCAGGTGGTGATTGGATGGTCTCGTGGGATGGCAAAATATTTGAAAAGTGATCTCAAACAAAAGTGTTGTTGGAGCTTCCCATGCTTCCTCGTGTATCAAAAAGCTTTTATTTGTAGCATGTATAGCCAAAACTCTTGTCTGGTTTCTGTGAAGGGCAGTTGTGAAGTGGTCTGTCTGCATTTTAAATTGAGTTCAGTGACCTGTTTCAGTCTATCGTCTGATCAATAAATGTAAATGAACCCGGAATACAAAAGCACCATGAAAAAGTATCATAAAAGTGGTCTATACAACTATATTTCAAGTTTGCTGATAATCTTCTAAACTCAAGAACAAGATCAGTTTGATTCACAAATTAATTATTCAGACAGGTTTTGTTACCCAGTTCATGTTTTGTGATTGAATTGCTCTTTTGAATCAGATATTTTCAATACCAGTCTGAATTTAGGCCTACTTGTGAATCAAACTGATCTTGTTCTTGAGTCTCGAGAAGAGCTAGGACGAATGTCAGGATTTTCTATGATTAATTATGTAATTTAGTCCTTTCCTCACAAAAAAGCTATAGCATGACTTCAGGGCACAGAGAATTTAGCACACACGTTGCATCAGTCCCTTTTATCATAATTTTATGATGCTTTTTTGTCATGTTGGAGCTCGACAGCTCCTGTCCTCATTCGTTTCAAAAATTCCCCTTGTGTGTTCCACAAAGGAATTAAACTCATGCAAGTTTGGAACAGCATGATGACAGAATTGCTCTTTTGAGTATGTGGGTCCGCTATAGAAGGACAGACCCTTCCTTTTTTTTTGTGAACTATCCCTTTAACTCCTCACATTGTTTGAGTTTTGACAGTTTCTTCACTTTAAAAGCATCACTCCACCCTCTGCACAGAAATGACACAGCAGGAGATGATTATCTCAATAAACAGGTATGTGCACATTTTATAGCTAAAGCTGATGCACAATACTTCTCTGAGATCATCAGACTGCTTACGTGGATAGTGTCTACTTGCGTGTCATACTTAGTTCACTTTGAACTTTTACTGCATTTAATTGTTTTACATTCACAAACTCTCAACAATACTCTTGTCCTCATTTTGTTTTAATGCCAGATTTTGTGAGTGGCTGGACAGCTTGATGTGACAGCATACTTCCTGTGCCTTTTGCCATTCTGCACTTTTGCTGCATCATTGGATGACTGTATGCTTTATTCTTGGTACTGAACAGAAGTCAAACTGTGAGAGCTTCCTTTTTATGTTCTGTTCTGCTCCTTTGGGTTATTTCTGGATGATCGAGTGAAATGTGAGACCTCTGGCCGGACCTGAGCGCCAGTAGTCAAGGTTGTTGCTCTCACACAGAGGCACAAGGCTGTGACACAGAGCCAATGTTATTGTTATACTGCAAGTGACATGTTAAAGCTAATCTGCTATGACAATTATTGACATAAATGTAACTGGCAATAAGATTAAACTATGTTATTAGCGGAAAATCACCAGATATTCACTGATAATAATTATGCATAATAAAAACAGACCTGAAAACCCTAAGGTGCAATTAACACAGAACGGGTTTTTGCGTTTAAAAACGCCAGGGCAGTGGAATAATAATAATAATAATAATAATAATTATTATTATTATTATAAGAAGAAGAATGCTAGGTCTAGAGAAGTGTGTGTGTGTGTGTGTGTGTGTGTGTGTTTTTATTTAACTACTTTTGTACTTTCAGAACGCTTTTCAGAAAGCAGCGCAGTTGAATGCAAAAACGCATTCACACAGAACGCATTTTTGCGTTTAAAAACGCGAGACGCAAGGTAAGGGAATGAAAACGCATTAATAAAAGCTGAACAACTTGAGCGCGTTTTACGCATAGGCGAGACGATGCAAAAGACGCGAGACGCGAGTGCAAAGGTGATACACCAGTGTTTACCAAACGGGGTGCCGTGTAAAAAAATCAGAATTTTTTAAAATATTTTTAAATTGCTAAAATGTTCAAAAAAGCATCTATTATATAATATACATTTCTGATGTCGCCAATAATTAGAGATGCACCGAAAGGTTTCACTTTCACGTGGTGTGACGCTCTGCGTATTATCCCGCTCTATGCGTGTGCGTTCATGCTCATCGGAACAGCAAAGTCCACTCAAAAATGGAGCCGACAGGAAACATCGATGTAGTACAGTATTGTTTCTGTCTGCAATAGCCCTACTGTGTTGTAACATGGTGTGGTATATATGGGCAACTCTGGTAACGCTGCCCTCTCATTCATTGATCTGCTAACTGCTATGTTATGCTAGCGTGTTCTGATAATAATAGCTTTCTAGGACTTAACATTATTTGGATAATTGGTAAAAAAAAAAATAAAAAGTTAAATATCTTAACCCTACTGTTAGACCTACATGAAAAACTAAAAAAGCAATTTATTTAATTCGAAGGCCTGTCGTTATTTTTTATTTGTGCTGTCATTATTAATTTCTTTATTTGTTCTTAGTTTATTATTGACTGCTTACTTGTCATTTTTATTCAATTCAAAGTTTGAAATCAAGCTATCTCGTGCTACTGCACCAAAATTACCCCACTGTAAAATTAAAAAAACACTGAGTGAGCAAAAATTTGTGAGATCGTTATAATGGTAATTAAATAATGTTTACATATGTATAAAATCCTACATTAAAATCTGTCATATAAATTGGTCTCTTCATTAGAAATTAGCCTACTGATTGACACCATTGATGGACAAAATTGTTTAATAATATAAAAAATATCTGTATGACATTATATTCTGCAGTTCTTCCCTGTTGTACCGAATATCTATACTTTTCAAATTATCATATCGAAGTTAGAAGTTCAAATATTGTGACAAAATTAATTTTGTAGGGTGCCACAAGTTTGTTAAAATTTCCAAAGGGTGCCGCGACTAAAAAAAGGTTGGGAAACACTGTGATACACAACATCAATCAAGCACGTTTACAAAGAAAATCAGCGCGGTGGGATGCAAAAACACGTTCCTTTGTGCATATCCCTTTAATACTGCAGAATTCGTTGAGCCATAAACACATTATACATTGAAAATGACACATGCATGCCAATTTTCAGATTACTGGTTGACCAGTAATCAACCAGTTGGTGTTTTCAATGACTGAACCTTAACTACTGCATCTGAGCTCCCCAGCTTTGAATATGTGGTTGCATCCTTTTGTGCAAGCTCCTTTCAATGGCCACTGGAGGGTACTGTGACTTCAAAAACTGGAAAAATCACGTTTAGAAGTTTGTAGAGGTGTGGTGTTTTAAAGGTCAGATGCAGGCTGTGGAAAAGAGTCTAAAACCTGGCCTGGTTATTCTCCAGACCAAGTTTTTGAAAGCATAGCAAACTCTTTCGGTCACATTAACACTTATATTTGCATTCCTCTACTGTGAGTGGAACAAAAAAATACAAGTTTAACCTGCCACATATGTTATAGTCCTTTAAAGTGTGTCTAGAACACTGTCAATCTTACACCTGGGTATAATTTATCGTTCCTGTTCCACGGCCGCAGACCTTTGATGTTCCTCTGTCTACTGTACTTCTCCGCCTACTGTGGTAAGTGTTATATTTTAAAAGCTTGTGATTTCCATGTTTAGCCACTTTAAATACAGAGGAAGTTGTTTGTTATGTGTTTTGAATTGTTGGTTTGTAGGCTACTTTCTGATTTACGAGGCTATCACTAGGTTATCGCCTACTGTTTAAAGCCATTTTCACTTGCTTATTCCATTATTCAAATAAGGAATGCTATTTCCATTACTCATTTGTGCCTTAATATTTTTCAGATATCGTAAAGACTTGTGATATTTCCTACGTCAACGGGAGGACGCAGAATGAAGATTAATTGGTGGCTCTGTTGATGCTGTTGATCTACACCTGTGCACATAAAGGAATGGCAGAGAAGCATAAATGCTTCAAAGCTTTCCAACTTCATTTTAGTGCTTCACAGAAGACCTTTATCTTCCAGGTACTGGCTTAAAGGAAAGACAGATGAAATGTCAATGCATTTCAATGCACATAGGGATTAAATGTCCTGTATGTTCAAAACAAGAACTTCCCAAAATCCAACATAAGGTTACTTCATAAATCAAAGGAGTTCATGTTGTTAGTCTCCACCTAACCTTGTCTTTAGTCTATCATTTGTCTCTTGCATGGCACAGCCTGCTTATATTTTTCGCTGTAACCATGGCATAGCCTCTAAGACAGGAAGCGAACATGTGTAGAGCTTTCCAGCCAGAGTCAACATTCTGTCTCAATGGTTGGCATTTGTGTTTGGGTTGTTTTTGACCATCCCTGGGCTGTTGACCAGTTCCCAAGCTTATGTTGCAATAGTGCTGAAATTGAGATCAGGACAAATCTGACAGCTGGCCTCTGTTTGTCATCCTTTTGTGACACACAAGCGCCCTGACGCCATGTGCCCGCCAGGCAGCCGCTCGTTAGCCGGGTTGCGTGCTTTGGCAGGAGCTGCCATTCAGTGTGTATGTTCTCAGCTGTACTTTTTGGGGCACGTCATTGATTGGGGCCACATGCAGCATATTT